AGATCTCAAAATACTTACCCACAAAACCATTACATTTCATGAATGCACTATCAATATTTCAAATCAAAGCTCCCAAATATTCAAAGTATAGTTAACTTTTAATGTACAGATGGGATTCATCCTAGCTAAACAAAAAACTAATCTCAAAAAAGAAATAAGATCAGAAGCAACTATATTCTTATCTACTAAGATAACAAAAAGTATATTTTAATCTAGTTCTAATAAAAAATAATAGAAAGAATGGTTAAAAGCTAAAAAGAAAGAATCAAATAAGCCAAAGTACTACTAAATTCAAAAGAAACCTCAGCCACCAAAAAATGACAATAAAACCAATCTCAAAAAGAAAAAAAAGAGATTAAACTCTTATTCGCTAAAATTATATATATATATATATATGGCAAATCATTTCTAATTAAAAAAAGGTAGAATAGGTAAAAGCTAAACTAAAAGAGTCAAGTCAGCAAAAGCACTACCAAAATCAGAAGTAACCTCAGCCACAAGAAAATGAAAACAAACCAACAAAGGACTTCAGACATAAGCACAAGACAATCTCATAAGTTAACTCCAACAGAGAGTAAATGAAAACAAAATACATATCATGCATTCTAAATAACATAAAGCATGGTAAATCAAAATTGAACCAAAAACAGATCTCCATTGAACCAATGCCAACAAGAATATAAAAAAGCCTACTCTATACTTTAACAAAATTAAATAAAAAATTCAGATATTCAAAAGATGAATCAAACTCTAAAAAAAAAATATTTTCACTAATTAAATGTAATAAAACTTTCTCAAAATTATAGGGTCATCATTCTTAAACTTTTATTTTCTACTTTTCTTTTTAACAAACCCTGTGAATATTATGAAGAAGAATCTCAAAAGGGCCATAACTATTCTTAAAAATTATAATATATTTTTTTTTCAAATCAAATGTAATAAGTTGTGATTTGAATGGCCAAAAAGTGAAATTTCTTATTAATTTTACTGGTAATTTTATCAGAATGATAAAGCATCTAAATAATTTTACTAGGAAAAAAATCCCTTAAAAATGTAGTTCTTAAGAAGATAAAGAGAAAAATGCCACTAAAAATAAATAAATGATTATGGGTTTTAGTTTTAGCATAACATAAAATATAACTAGAGTTAACAATAATATCATTACTAGTAAGAATATCAAGAGTCTTAAGTCCATTTTGAATAAACTTCCTAGCTTGAACAATAAATTTAATAGAATACTCTTAAATCAAGCTATTTTATAACAATCGACACTAGAAAAATTTTCATAAATGAAGCAATGGACAAAATTATGAGAATAAATACTATTTTATTCCAACGATAGATAATACCATTAGTAAGAAGAGTGTTATAAATGGCATGTATACCATGATATAAGCATAAATATTACCAAATTAATCCCAAGCTTCATTAATATTAACATCACAAAGCATAGTTTTCTTATCAAGATTAAATAAAAGAAAAAAGAATCACCAAACTGATTAATTAAAGAAGACCCATAAAGCAAAGCATCATAAAAGAAAAATAAATTACTATCAAAATTAAACTGAAAAGTAAGAGAAAATTTTAATGTTCAAAGAAATTTTAATAATATCTTTCCAAAATGTACTTGAATAACTATTTTAAAACCAAATAGAACCATAATGGTTCAAACGCCAGTTGGTCATATAAGAGTTAGAATAATAAACATTCCAAATATTTTAGCTTTGCACATAATATTATTATTACACGAAGAAGATAATCCATGACCACCAATATGCTGAGGTAAAGTGATTTTATTCCAACCAATGACATGCAACTTCTTATTATTACCATTACAATTAATAAAAATATTGATCATGGAAGAAATTTTCCTTTTAATACTCTTAGAAAAAATGGAATAACAAAATTAATACCATAAATAACTTAAAATAGTAAATTGTACTAATTGAAGCCTACCCACTGAGGATAAAAACTCTTGCTTCCAGTTGGCCAAAAAAGATAAGAGTCCTTTAATAATAACTTGACAATCAGTAGCAAATAGCTTAGAAGGTTTAATATTGACCCTAAGATAAATCTAAGGCAAATATTTCATATTGATATCACTAATAGTGCAAAGTTGATGTTAAGTCAAAAATCCACAGAATTTTAAAAATAAATTGTTGATTTAGAGAAATTATATTGAAGATTAGAAGCTATTCCAAAATTATTAAACTTAGAAACAAAATTCCTAATATAATATATATCAGCCTTCCCAAAAAAGAAATCTTCAACATAAATTAGTGAGATATAATCTTATAATTATTCTTAAAAATATTAATGCCACTATTATGAGCAAAATAAAAAAGAGAAGCTAGGGCATCCATAATAATATCAAAGAGATAGAAAGGTAGAAAAAAACCTTGCCACAACTCAGTGGAAGAAGAAAATTAACCTTTCATTTTACTATTAATGATGACAAAGAATTTAACATCATCAATACAAGCTTTAATTCAATTTATAAAAATAGTAGGTAAGCCTAAAAAATGCAAACGATTATAAAAAAAATTCCTATTAATTTTATCTAAATTTTTAATTAAATAAATTTTAGCAAATTTTAGCACAAAATTTCATAATAAAATTAATGGAATTGAAACCATAAATAAATTTATTAACTAAAATGATATTGTCGATAATATCACGACCCTTAAGGAAGTGGCTTGAGTGAGAAGAATAATTCTAGAAAAAATAAATTTAAGTCGATCTGCAAGTAAAATAATAATAACTTTGTAAATTGTGTTACGGAGATAAATGAGTTGATAATCATTAAGAGAATTAATATCACATTTCTTAAGCATAATAGTAATAGTAATATGCGTAACCCTTAATGGAAGCTTATAAGTTTTGAAAAAATGTCAAATAACATCAATGCAATCCAAACTAGTGAAATCCAGAATAACAACAATGCAATCTAAGCTAGTGAAATTTCAAGTATTATTAAAGAATTTTGAAGTAAAATCATATGGCTCAAAAGTTTTGTTAAAAACAATAGAAAAAAATGCTTTTTTAATATCATTATTAAGAAGATCCAAAGAGCCATATGATCATCATTATTAACTGAGTATCAAATAAGGAATACATGATTATAATAAAAAGAATTTTTAGGATAGCTATAAGAATATTAGAAAAATAAGAAATAACTTCATTTATAATACCCACTTGATTATCAAGATAAGCATTATCAATCAAAGTTTCTTTAATTTAGTTAGAATTATGCCTTCATTTGGGATTTTGTAATAAAAAATTTGCATCATCCACATCTTTTGAAATCCACAAGCATTTTGCTCTTTACTTAGTCCTCTTATAATCACAAATAGTAGTTTTAATAATATGTTTTTACAGAATAGGAACATGTTTAAGAAGATTTTCTTAAGTATGGGATTGTTCATGCAAACTCATATATAAATTTTTCCTATCTTAAAGGTCCTTTTGAAGAATATTTAAGAAATTCCAATTAAAACCTTTTAAAGCATTCTTTGCATTCTTAAGTTTATTACATAAAGCAAAAATAGGATCAGCCTTAACAGGTTAGATCAAACCTTATAAACAATATCATAAAAATTAGAAGACTCAAAAAGTTATTATACGTGAATCAACATTGAAGCTTACTAGAACTATCCAAAAAAATAGTATGGAGATTAGAAGAAAAAAAATCCATTACTTTAAATTAAAAAATAGGAAAAGCATTTATCCAAGCATAACTACATAAAGCTTTATCAAGTAGTAAGAATCTAATAGAGTTAACTAATTGATTATTATACCAACTAAAAGAATAACTAGTACTTTGAAACTCTATAAGAACAGTATAAATGATGCAATTATTAAAGCCAAAAAGTACACTAGGGATAAAATTGGTTACCTCATATTTTTTATTCATTAATATAAATGCAATTAAAATCACCAAACAACAACTACAAATCACTCATATCATCAACAAAAAGATTAATTAACTCCCATAAGTATTTTCTAATAGCAGCATTGTTATCAACATCACAAACAATATATATAAAAAAACTAATAAATGATGAATAAGAGACAATGCCATGGATATATTGGGGCTAATATTAAAAGAAGATAAATGTATTAGAGTTCCACTTAATCAAAATTCTATAATTGTCTATAAAATTAAAATTATTAATGCTACCCTCCAACAAAAAATATATTAATGGAATTAGAAAAATAACGATCCAAAAATGTGCTAGCAGAAATTTTAGTTTGCAGATAAAATTAATTTTATTCTCTGATAAACTTTTTATAATCAACTAAATGGACAACATTATTTAGATCCCTGACATTCCAAGCAATAAAATTAGGTAACATTATAAGGAAAATTAATAAAAATACTAAAAAAAAGACATAAACCTAACAAGTAACTTCTATTGGTATGTCATTTTTGTTTTTAAAAGGAGTGAGTTGAGAGGAAGAATGAGAATTTATAAAATTTGAAACAATACTAGGAGGCAACCCACTAACAGAATGCCCTACAAAAAAATATTAGAAATATAACTATCTTGAAAAATAAAGTTATTAGCAGTAATATTATAAAAGACATAAACCACTTCATAAGTTTAATTGTTTTCTACTCAATCTGAATGTAAATATTTTTTACTAGAATTTTCAATAGAGATATTAAGATTCAGAACTAAATACATAATATCATTACCAGAGATAGGTAAAGCAGATGTTTAAGCATTATTAGAAACCATACTAGTGTTAATTCCAACATTAGGTAAAGCAGGACCAACATGAGAAACATGAATAACAAAATTACTAACACTCATATTAGGCCTTAAATTATTTTGATTATTGTTTCTACTCCTACCTTTGAAAGCAAGAACAATAGCCATTGATTTTTTAGTAGATGTTTTAGAGCAATTTAAATGGTCATGCACAAATGTTAAACATTATTTACATGGACTACACTTCCTTTCATAAATCACATTATGAACAAAATCTTGCCCTTTAAAATTGACATAATCGAGAAGAACATAATCAATGTTATCTCCTCCTCAACTTCCTTCTCCGTTGATGAAATCACATATACCGACATCATCAGCGTGGGTGTCCCCGTCGGCTGGCGGCTTCGACGTTGTTACATGACAGTGGTTTTGGTGTCTCCGCTTTCACCTCTTTCTTCACCATTCCAACATCAATCTCTCCGCTCTTGACTTCGATCTCCTCTTCTCATCCGGCTTCTTTATTCAATCTTCTTTTATAATGTATCATGTTCAAAATTTTGCTCAATTTTTATGTGCGGGCAAATTATTTTCCCTCCCTAGCGCCCACACCCATACACCCAAAGCAAGGTCGGTGCTCCAGGGATTATTAGGCCTCCTGCAACTTCCTTAATTGCTGTAGCTGCTAATGAGACTGCGCGGAAAGGTACAATCTGATAACTATTAACATCATTTTCCTATCTACTCGTTTGAGCCAAGTAACTCTGTGAATCCATGGTTAGTTCAACTTTCAATGGAATCCATTCATTCATTGTTTATTGTATTCCAAGTGGTTGTTACTAAATATTTTGTAAAATTTTGCTCTATATTTTCATGGATATTTTGCTTAGAAGTCCACCGCTGTCCTTCGAAATTACCCTAGATTTTTCCCGCAAAACTTCCATAGTTGAGCGGACTCGAGCTTTCAATTTGTTCATGTGATAGAGGGAAACTGCTTGTTTGATTGAATCGGCGGAAAAAGAATGTTTTGGCACAATTTTCTTGACTTCACGAAACTATTTTGTCATCCATCTCCATCGGAAAGCTGACACTGGAGTTTGTTGTGGGATGCAGGGATTGCTTGATGTTTCTTCCCACCATTGGCGTTATGTGACCATCGCAAGGAAAGATCCTTGTTCTTGTAAAGTTCAGTTTTCTGCCTGTTTCCCAACTGTTTTTAGAATATTTGAGGTCAAGCACTGCATGTTTTATTGTTCATTACCTTTCATAAGCAAAGAGCACAAATCCATCAAATCCAACTCTGATCATGAAGAATCAGAGCAGTCTGCTGGGCTACATGACTTTGTTCTTGGACCAGAAGAACATGAGTATGCCCATAAGATAAAGTGCACTATTTTAAATCATGGAAGTCGGAATGTTAATGATGTTATGCAGGCTCTAGAGAACAATCATTATATCCATCAAATTCAACTTACAACTAATACCGTTGATTCACTGATGCAACAGTTTGGTGATGATTGGCAGTCTGCCCTTGGTTTTTTCCGATGGGCTGGTGCTCGGCCAGGCTATAAACACACTTTATATTCATATAATAATATAGTGGGTTTACTAGGTAAGATGAAGCAAATCGATCAGATGTGGAATTTAGTGGAGAAAATGAGAACTGAAGGCTTGATTACCCTTGAAACTGTTGCCAAGATCATGAGAAGGCTGGTTGGTGCAGGAAGATGGAGAGATGCTGTTAATTTTTTTGATGATTTGGAACACTTTGGACTAGCAAAAGATACCGAATCAATGAATTATTTGCTTGACACCCTTTGCAAAGAGAAAAAAGTTGAAGTTGCCCGTGAAGTATTTATAGAGCATAAGGCGCGCATCCCTGCAGATGCTTACACTTTTAACATTTTTGTCAATGGTTGGTGCATTTTACACAGAATTGAAGAGGCAATTTGGACAACTCAAGAGATGAGAGGCTACGGATTTCGACCTTCCGTGATCACATATTCAACGATCCTTAAGGCATATTGTAAACAGTCGGATTTTCGTAAGGTCTTCGAGTTGCTTGACGAGATGGTTGCTGAGGATTGCGCACCAAATGTCGTCACCTACACCATCATTATTAATTCGCTTGCTAGATCACGTGATTTTGAAGAAGTGCTGAGTGTGGTTAACAGGATGAAGTTATCTGGATGTGAGCCCGATACTCGTTTTTATAATACATTGATCAACATTCTAGGCAAATCGGGGCGGTTGGATGATGCCTTTCATATCTTCGACAATGAGATGGGAATGAATGGGGTCAACCCGGATATATCTACGTATAATATTATGATCTCTATATTTTGTCAGCATGAGCAAGAACAGAATGCTTTACATGTGTTGAAGGAGATGGAATACTCTTCTTGCAAACCTGTTCTGCAAACATACAATCCACTGCTCAAACTATGTTTTAGAATGGGAAAAATAGATGATCAACTTAAAAGCTTGTTGAATGACATAACAACAAAGCATCACTTGAGTTTCGATCTTGATACATATACGCTTTTAATTCATGGCCTATGTGGTGTGGGAAATGTTGATTGGGCGTATTCTCTTTTTAATGAGATGGTAGATCAAGAAATTGCGCCTAGGATTCGTACATGTCGGCTACTGATGGATGTAGCGAAACAAAAGAACATGGATGTAGCCGTGGAGAGGGTAAAAAATTTGATGAGCACAAAAGTTTCATGATTTTAATGGGTAAGTTGATGTATTAGACCCTAAATTTGTAAGCTAATTTCGGTTTTTGTTGGATAGATTGTAGATGTATATGTTCATAAGAGATAATTCTTGTTACATCTTCATTATTATGATTCTTACAATGCAATGCCTCTATTCTTTATTCATTTTTGTTCAATAAATTTGACAGCTAATTGCTTTCTGGGCTAATATGCTGTTCTTACCATCATCCATGCTCCTTCTAAACCAGACTTATTTTAATATGAGCAGATAAGATTTTTTTTTAAGAATGATAGGTGAAGTCATCTTTTTCATGTTTATTTACGGGTTGGGGAGTACCTTGAAGTTTACATTACTTTCAAGAATGAGTGGAAGGATAACACTTTGCGGGCCTTCGAGGGTTAATTGAGGAGAAAACCGTAGTCTTCTTTCTTTCAGGTTCTTCTTTATTATTGACAAGCATCCCTGCTTATAAACCTCTGCTTGATCAATTCAGCAGAGTGGCCTATATGGCTATATGCACCTATTTTTCGTTTGGATGTATGAAATTCAATAAGCATTTTTTGGTAGTTTTTACTAATGGATATTTGAGATTTATAAATTTTACTATTTTTTATGGTTATTATTTTGTGTCATTTTGTTGTCAATTTTTCCTTGGGCCCACCTAATGCCACCTTTATGAATAAGTGATTATGTAAAGGCATATATGGATATATTCTAGCACTAAAGCATGCATGATTACCTACCTACTTATACAATAGATCGCTAAGGAGATGCATGAACTGATTTCTGCATTTAAATTGATTTTATCTTTAAGACCAATTAGGTGGAAATTTTTCCTTTGACAAAGCATCTTGGACATCGACCTCCTTCTGAAGCTAAATGCAATATTCTTATGTTTACTATTCTATTTATTCCACGAATTAACTATAGGTACCATTCTTTCAGTCTTTCATAGTTTGGCTTCTCCAATAAACTCCTTTTATTACTGTTTTGAGCTCCTCAGCAGCTGTTCTTTTCAAAATTTTCTTTTCCCTCACAAAAAAATTGTCAGACTTTCACTATAAAATTTACATAACATGCACGGTATCTATTACTAGAGTTGCACTTTAGTTTGCAAGTCTCCCGATTGGGTTATTGTGCACCAGTGGACCTTATTATGGGGTTGTTAGTATGGCTATTTTGGATAAGAGTTATGGAGTTTTAATTTGAATTGAAATGAATTTTTCTTGTGTAATTTTAATTTAAATATAGGTTAAGCTACTTATATGTCAATCATATTAATTAACCAATGCGAAGTTTACAATTAGTTATTTTGAGGCCTATAATATCAACTTTAGCTAGAGTAAAATCTGTCTTTTCAATTTTAAACTTGTAGCATAAGTTGGATTTGTGATTTCCTAGGGTGTGTGCAAGGGCGACTTTTAATTTTGAGGGAAGTTACCTCCTTTTAGACATGAATTTTATTACTTTTATTATTTATTATTTCATTCTTTATTTGTGTTATCTACATAATTTGATATTGACTTGTTTAATGCTTATGATGTTCATTAAATTTTGACGTACCGAAAATACACTTTTTTTGAAATTAAATTCAATTGCTTATTATTTTACATGTTTCAAATTCTTAGCTATTTTTTCTAAGATTTTTTTATTTTTTCATTATCAATTAGCATTAGCCATTTTCATTCAAATGAAGTAAAATATTGAATTAATTAGTGGCTTATTAAATGTGAATCTGCAATATTTTAAAACAAAATCAAACTTCACTTTATGTTAGCTGCATCAAGAAATGTTCATCTTGAGTCATCCCGTACCTGATTTGAAATAGAGATGGCTATGAATTCTTCTAGACTTCGAATAAAAATAAATGAAAGGGCAAGGAAGATTGTTATAACACTCAATAATACTCGTGATTTTTATTTGGTTCATTGATTAAGTGTTTCTACATTCCTAGCCTCAGGCATCCCAATTTGCTAGAACTGAAATATCTGTCCTAAGTTGGAGTTCAGAGCGTCAATATCCGACTCATTTCATATATTTTCATTTATAATTATATGGTGTTAAGTTTCATCTCAGCAGCCTTACCCCAAAATCTTCACCTTAAAATAATAGGGAGTTGCCATCATCTGGGTTATGATAAGATTGTGTTAGATTGAAAAATTGTATGAAACTTGGAAACATATAATATATCTGAAAGATGAGATTTTTGTAAAGTGTGAATACTGTCTTTTCATGAAATAGATGATGTCGAACCATTAATAATGATGATGGGCGATAGAAGAGAGATGCAGTGAAGAAATAATTGTCTATTGCCTGACATATGGGAATGTGGTTTTGAAAGCCAGAATGTATCGGTAGAGATTGAATTGAGAAACTGTGAGAGAATAGAGATACCTTCGTCCGCTGGAGTAGATTGTATTTATTATGAAGCATAGATAAAAAAAGAAAAATCAATCCGTGATGACAATAGCCTGGAGTTATTTATGGATACATGGTGAGTTGTCAAAGAGTAATCATATTTTTTGTAACATATATTAAGGATAATTGGTGTGACTATAATGCAAATACGTGGTGAAAATTTTTTTATAACCACAACCTCTACCAATCTTTCTTGCCCGGCCACATCTCTCCTCTCTCTCACCTTGTGTATAGTTAGCTTGGGTTGAAGGAGAAGGATTTGATAGATTGGTGATGCGAGGAACCCGAGATAGAGTAATAATTGTGCACCATGAAGAGATGGATTGAGTCTGAGAGGAACTTTGTAACTTTTTTTTCCATTCTATTTTTGCTTAAGAATGTGATCAATGGTGTTTTCTTCTCAATCTACTGTGCACTATTTAATTGGCAGGCCTTTTGTTAGACAGAAAAAAAATGTCAAAATAAAAAATGTAGATTCGAGAGAAACAAAGCCCCACATTCTTTTGACGGTATCTTGAAACATGATAACAGCAGAGAAGCAAGGTTCAAGTTTGTTTAGTAGTAAAGAAGAAAATAGTCGGAATAATAATAGTTTGAGGGTGCCTTCGCTATTTTAAGGAGCATCAAGATGATATTAATATTAGGTAATCATTTTATAGGGCGAGTATATATTTTGGGAAGTTTGACTTTGATTATCCCTATATTATGTCCATTCTCTTCTGGGTTTCTTTCATACAATATTTATCTTGTTTTGTTATCAATAAAAATCATATTTGCTAAATGAATCATTCAATTTTATTCTTTTAACACGGTCATAGAAACTATATCTCTTTATTCTTTAGCCTAGCCCACAACCCACCTACATGCCAAATCATATTTACCTTGTTCTCTCTACCCCTGAGTCTGCTACGTCTACTTGGACTTGATTTTTTGCATAATTTGAGTATATCTTATATTCGTTCTACATCCTACCTTCTTGTTTTGGCTTCTATCTGTCCTCTTACTGAAGTGGAACCCTCCTAATCTACTGTACTATCATTAAATTTAGTGGTAATATTTTTGTCTTATACTTGGGGCCTTTCCCTTTCTTGTCCTATGTGACCACTCGCTGATCTTAATTTAAGTTTTAGTTTCACACTTGGGCTTCACAGTTCTCTCAACTTTTATATTCGGAATTGAGACGAAGACTCGTATTACCATTTAATCCCGACTGATTGATCTCGAGTTTGAACTTAAAGACATTTAAAGTTATTCTATCCAAATATAACTAAAATCCGTTATCTGGTACTTCTGGCCCTTTTTTTTTTGATGATACCTGCATCTATTCTCCTACTGGTAACTGGTAAATTGGGATTTGGGACTATCCTTAAACTGCAAACAATGAACTTAGTTTCTAGTAGCCTCTACAATTTTTTTTTTTTCAATCATAAACTATTGAATTTTTTTTATTTGATATGTTAAAAGATTTGGAATAAAGTGTCAAAATAGTCCCTGACTGTTTATGTGGGACCATTTTTACCATTTTGGGTCCCAAAGTCTATAAAAGTGCTAAATTAGTCTCCAGACTCTTTAAATTCGGGCTAAAATAGTCTCTCGTCTTGCAACTAAATTGTTATTTTTATAGACTATGAAATTAAAATGGCCCTCTGCAAAGTCCAAGGAGTCGGGCTAAAATAGTCTCCCGTCTTCCAACTAAATTGCTATTTTTATAGACTATGAAATTAAAATGGCCTTCTGCAAAGTCTAAGGAGAACTATTTTTACACTTTTCTCTAAATTATTTGGCGGTATGTCCTTAATATTATCCCCAGTAGCAGTGCTGACACATGCTTTAGATCAGACTTAGAAATGCTAGGAAATGCGGGGCTAAGGCGGAAGAAAGGTTGAAGGGAAGTGGACATCTCACTATATTGTGGCAGACCAATGCATGGTTCCATCATGGAGTTTTGAACCAGAACTTTATTAATGAGTTGTCGCGGATATATATCTTCTCTTAGTCTTCCATCTCTCTTGCTTTTTTGTCGCAACATGCTATGTTTTATTTGCAGCTTTTTTTTCTAAGCATTATTGATGCTTTGTTTGTTTGGTTGCTATTTGTCTATGATGACATATTATCTTTTTTGCATAATTTGGTTGGGTAGTTATCGTTTGCCTCTCATGAGGTTTAATTACCTGATTTAGCCGTGATCAGCTGTTAGTTTTGATTTAAACCAGGTTAAATTGAAGTTATTATATAAATTTTCATTGTTAGTGCTGCTTTTTCTTGATCTTCCTTTCTTCAAGAGAGAATAAACATTTATAGTACGGTTTGTTGAATTATTATCATATATGATCATTACACAAATCTAAAAGTACATGTGATAATTTTGTAACACCTTTCACTACTTGATGGTTCAATATTGCTGCATAGGATTATTTGAATCCTAAATTGTACATGTCTTCATATCCTTTTGTTAGAACTTTAATGTTTTATTTTTTTCATTGTTAACGAATTTGGAAGCAATGAATGCCTCTACTGAAAGCAGGAGGATGGTTGAGGGAGAAAGATATCTTTATGGAAAAGTGGAGAAGATGGTTGAGGGAGAAAGATATCTTTATGGAAAAGTGGAGAAGCCAATTAGTGTAACTTTTGGCGAAGGAGCATGTGCTAGATATAAGGGCTAACTTTTTGCCTGCTTATCTCTTGATTTTTTTTTCTTTATATATATATATATATAAAC